CGCTCCCCTTCGAGGTACAAAATTGCTGGGCCAAGCCTGAGTGACAAAGGGCAAGAAGGGCAGAGTGTGTTTCCCCCATCATGAAACTCAGGAAGAAGAGGCTGGAGTGGAGCCTGAGGTATCTTCACTGTGATCATGGGACGAGGGTGGTCAGTAATCCCTAGCAGCTACCAGCCTGCTGCCCCTACTAGGGACCACAATCAACTGAAGCTGCTGGAAGAACCGAACAGGTCACAGGATATAAGTTGGCTCCTCTGGGAAAGGCAAGGGTCCTGGGAAGGTTCTTGGGAAAAGCATGAAGTGAGGGCTGGAGATAGCAGCTGTTTCTGGAGAGGGTCCCCCCCCCCCCAAGAAGGGAGAATCCTTACTCCCCCTCTGAACCCTAATATGACAGAGATCGCTCTTCAGAAGAGGGGCTGTTCATGATGCAGAATCTGTTCCAGTTCAGCTCCCAGTCCAAGACCCCACTGTCCAGGGCATTGGCTCCACCTGGCCACTTTCACAAGCAGAAAAAGTAGACCCTGGAGAAATGTCTTGCATTCCTGACAGCTCTTGCTCCATCTCCCAGGGGAGCAAGGATTCCTTTCTTTTCTTCCCCAGGTGAGTAGCCCCTGGAGTTCTGGATTCAGGACCCCTGGTCTCCTGATGAGAATTTTGCCTTCTCCATTTTTTTCCAGTATGAGCCGGTCTCACTCGAGTTGCAACCCCTCACCATGAGTCAGCTTTTGCTGATGAGATGAAACAGTCTGCTCTGCAGCAGGGGACTCTTCTCCTGCATCGGAGCGGTGTGGAGCATAAACAGCATACCTCTGTCTACGAGCTTCTGTTCCCTCTATTGACCATCATGAGGGTGGGACAGAGGGTTTTTCCTTCCCTTCCCTCAGCTTTCCGGGTGTGTAAATATTTTAGGAAAGGCACAACTGAGAAGAGCAAGACAATGAAACAAAACAAATGCATTTTGCTCAATTACGTAATAGGTGATGCAGTCCCCATTGCCTTCCAGGGCCACAGCCATCACCAACCAGATGGGGGCAAGCACTCCCTTTCAATCTCGCAAACGCAGCTCACCTTCATGGCTCATTCGATTGCATCTTTCAGGTACTATTCCTCCACTCTGCTCCTGTGCCCCTTGGCACTGCCTCTCCGCTGTTAGAAACCATAGCATGGTCTAGTTAAGGAGGCAGATGGTTGTCCATCCCAAGGGCCAAAAGCATCCTGTATATCCACTGAGCCTGCAGGGTGAAGTGACAGAGGGGGAAGTGGAGAAGGAAGGAAAAGAAGGTGCTCCAAAGGCTCAAGATGCCTGCAATGAAAGTCAAGGCTTGGCATTGTTCTATGGAGGTCTCTCAATGGTCTGTGTGAAGGCTGCTGCAACGTTGGCTACAGAGGATGGTGCTCATCATTGTGCCATTTGATGGCTGCTCTCTGTAGCTGATCAGGTAAAGTTGCCATTGATCGCTGTAGACACAATCGCCTCCCATGACTGGCGATGAAGGTCAGGACAGTCCGTGCACTAGTGACTACCTGCCAGGTCACTCTGGCTACTAGACACTCTGAGACGAAGTGGGCAATGTTGTCCTTCCATCAGATAGCCTCGGTCATGCACTGCTTTCTGGGACACATGTGAGCTGGGCCATGACCCCATAGCATCTCTGTTGGAACCTGGTAGAAGAATCTCCAGTGGGTCTCCTACAGCTTGTAAGGGACCTGTCAGTCTCAAAAAAGCTCTGGAGACCTTCCCCCACCCTCCTCTCTAGGGCTTCTTCGTAAACTTCATGATGTATGGTGTGCCGCCAAAGCAAGGTGTTCTGTTCCTCCCTGTGAACAGACCAGGTGACGCCCCCATCACTGCTGTTGCTGGGGTAGAACAATACAAAGTCCTAAAGTGGTTTTGTGGGATGGCAGATTTTCAGAAGAGATCAGGCAAACACAAAGATATAATGGCAAAGAGTGGCACTCCGCTTCATCAACTGAAATGTGATGGATCCTCTGTATCACCATTCTCATCTGTCCCATCCCACGGAGACCCAGTGCGACAAACAAAATCATCCAGAGAGGAGAATTCCTGCTCTGAGGTCTTACTCTGGTCAGCCCTGCCATGGGTTGTGGAGACTCTATCTGGGAGAAGAGGGTGGAAAACCAAGTCCTCCTGCCCCCCAGGCAAACAGCCCAATGATCCCCCAAAATTTTGCTTGAGGAAGATAGTTCAGAGTCATCAGTCCAGGACTGGCAAGGCCAGACTCCCATCAGTCAGTCACTGGTAGGCCACTGCTCTCAAGAGGGGAAATGGGCAATCCGCATAAAAGCTTAAACCACCCCAGGGAGACATGTTGTAAAATTTCTGGAGGCAGGTACGCTGCAGCAAGCCAGAATGCCGTGGGCAGCAGGTATGTTTGTAGGCAGAGAACCCACTGGTAAATGGAGAGCTGCCGCACCCTCCATCGAGCCCAGTTTGCGAAAGTACTCGGACAGCACACACATCTCTCTCAAAGCCTTCCCATGCCTGCTATTGGAAAGAAATCCATCCCATTTGGGATTCCCAAGCTTCATTCCACAGCCCTCAATAAAAAGAGTGCTGTTTTTTTTTCTTTTTTGGTTTTTGTCAATAGAAAAAGGAAGAGGTGGGCCCGCTGCTAGAAGAGGGCAGAGTCCCTCAACCTCTGGCTTAGTTTGGTCTCCCTTCCATAAGGGAACAGGGTTCAAATGCAAAACAATGAACAAAAGGTGGGGGGGGGGATTGCAATCCAAGACAAGTGCTGATGGTTAGGGAGCACCGCCACAAATGAGTTTGTCTCCAGAATGAGATAAAATATATACAAGTTGAAAAGCCTGTATCATCTTGGAGCATCTTTCTGTGATTTTTGAGAAATCACGGAGGATGGATGAAGTGCAAAAAGGGGCAAAAGGAGGACCAAGTTACTTCAGACCAGTATAAATTGATACTGGGCAAATTTTGGAACAGATTATTAAGCAAATTATTATTTAACATTTAGAAAATAACTCATTGCAAGCCTAGTGTTTGGAATTAATCATGCAAAACCAACCTGATCTTTTTTTGATAGAGGGACCAGTTTAGTACTGAACATAGTGGGTACCTCGTCCTCAGCAAAACATTGAACACAGGCTCCCATAACATTCTCTTTGTATATATTACAAAAGTGGGTGACTATGCCACTCCCACTTCAAAGCTGGTCGAAGAATTGTATCCAGCAAATGTCCATCAATGGCTCTACCTACTCATAGAATCCGACTTCCTGTGGGTCTAGCCCTCTATCAACTCAAAGGTGGGTTGAAAGTGCTTCGACTCTTCCTTTTTTGCCTAGTTTTTTAAAATCTCATGTTCGAAAAGTTTTTGCCTGCTGCGGACATACTTGGTTCTCCAGATATCCTTGTTGTGATTAGCTTGCTAACATTTGCAACTATTGATCAACAACCCTAACCCATTTTGGGGGAGAAAAGCTTGAGACAGCTGAAAGACGCACACATAATCAACTGGTACACAAAATTCACTGGTGGGCAGAAAAGGAAGAAGAACCAGCGTTTCATCTCAGCCCTGGGGAAAGGCCATGTTGGTACAGCTAATGGCGACTTAGGTCAGACTCAGGGATCTTCCGCATTGCTTTCTTCCCATTCTTGAGTCAGAGGAAAGTACATTGATAGGAGAAGCATGGTCCCACAGTACCACATCTCAGCAATGGAGCTGGTCGGTGTTGCTGCTGGCATGTGAGGTAGCCTCAGAGTTGTGACTGCTGGAAAGCCTCTGCCTTCTCCCCCCAATGTCATCCACTGGCAGGATGGAGGGAACTCTGAGCAGTCCCTGTCTCTTCATCCACTGTCAGCTGGAATATTTTTCCTTATTTACTGGCATGGGAATATTGATCCCTCAGCATTCCAGAAGATTAGAAGGTTAATATTTTCCTTGCAAAAATAGCTTGTATTTTTAAAGGCGGTTGCACTGAAGCTCCCCATAAAGACACACCAGCTGGAAGGGAGGAAGTTGCTGGATCAGCACCACACAACCCTGTGGCTCTATTTTACGTCTGAGCTCTATAGCTCTCGTCTGAGCTCTCATTAACTTTAGATGGCAAACAAGTCCTTCTATTCATGGAAAGATAGTCAGACTCACTCCACAACTGGTCCACTTCTGTAAGCACCTTACAGAAAGGTATACTGTCAATATATATAACCACCCTTAACAGCATAATCTTGATGCCACGGGGAGGGACCCTCTGCTGATCTGCCAGGCCAACTGGAGCCCATCAGACCGTCCACCCCAGAAGGCTCCTCCTCCGTGCACCATACGTGGACCATCCACTGGGGAGGCCTAAGGCAGGCATAAGATGGGAAACACGACTTTTACGCCAGCCCGATTTCGGTTCGCTTCGGCGGAGGCGGCCACATGAAGAGGCTCCCTGGCGGGGCCATTCTCAGCAACTGGCCAGCGGGGTGGCAGCGAGCATGCGGGGCGGATGAGCCCTGACTTGAGCTGCATCCAGAGGCGAGGGCCAGGTCTGGGCGGCAGGTTGGGGCGGCCAAGGGCAAATCTTTCCTTCCCTCGCATCCCGAACAGCATTCGATAAGGGGCCTCCCCGGACGGCCCACTCCCTCCCTTCCAGCAGGACTCCCCAAAGCGGCGCAGGGCGAGTTCCGTCGCGCGATCCACCGCCTCCTTCGGGAAATTCCGCCTCCATGCCCACGTAGGGCCAGGCTCTGAGCCGCTCTGGAGACAGGGCGAAGGGCGGGGGAAAGGGAAGGAGCGGGCGGGGCTCGGAGCTTTGCTGGCCCTTCTGGCCTGGCGGTTT